AGAGGTAAAAAGGCCTTGTAGCAGAGACTGTCAGTGCCACACCTTATCTTCTTGGCACTTACCATTCCTTTGCTAAGGGCTCCCAACTGTAAGCCCCTGCCTGTCTTTGAGGGGTTTCCTTAGCTACTAGAGCCACCTAGGCCTGTTTCAAGGGTAGACCAGAAGTTCCAGGGAATCAAATTCCTCCAGGAGCAGCTTTCAGCCAGATACTGAAGGGAATTGGTGAATAAATAACCTAACTCCCTTGCCATCTTTTTTTTGGTGGTGGGGGGGGATGGTTCTGGGGATTGAACTCAGGGCTTTGTGCATGCAAGGCAAGCACTCTACCAGCTGAGCTATATCCCCAGCCCTCCCTTGCCATCTTGTTGGGATCATTTTTTTAATTTTTTAGCCATTGATGGGCCTTTTCTTTTGTTCATTTATTTTTATGTGGTGCTAAGAGTCAAATCCAGTGCCTCACACATGCTAGGCAAGCACTCTTATCACTGAGCCACAACCCCGGTTCCTTGTTGGGATCATTTTAAGTCACATTCAACACACTGTCCCACAGTATCTCAAGGGAATTGATTCTTAGTTGCCTATAGCCATAAACTGCTTGATAACATTTCCTTTATTGGCATCTTACCTTTTCTGACTCATTTCACCATATCCCTGCAGAAACTTGGCATCACCTTCCAAATGAAGCTGCTCACACTTACACCCTTGCCTCAAGTGCCCCTTTGACAGAACCCAGTTTACCAGACATTTAGTATAGTGGAAAGGAGGAGTTTCTTGTGTGTCCTGCAAGAGGTCCTGAGGAAGAAGAACCTGCAGGACTTGACGCTTTATCAACCACTTGGGGAGAGGGCAGTGTCACCTACAGTTTTAACTATGAAAATCTAGGTGTCACCTATGGAAAATGGGCACTTAGGAGTAATGGGAATTTTCATGAAGAGAAAGGGTTTATTTTTGGACATTTTGCATTTGAAGTACTAGTGGAACATTACAAGAGCTAGAAGTTCTAGCTGCCTGCTAGAACTTGGAAATTTGGATCTGGAGTTTGTGACAAAAGTGAGAGTGGAGATTTGGTTTGATCATTGCATAGAAGTCGTTGATGAAGCTGTAGAGGTGGATAACACCTTCAAGAATTAGGTATTGACTAGAGGGTAAGCAGTTGCAAGCCTAAGAATGGATGCCCACATTTGGGGTTGTAGGAAGAATGACAGGAACTGGGTGAGGAATGGACAGCCAGCGACAGTAGGAACCAACAGGCTGGAGCCATCTAGGATGCTCGGAGGAGCAGGCAAAAGAAAGTCTATGTAGAAAGGTTCTAGGTTTGCTGCATTTCCAGTTCTGGTAACTTTTGATCCATAGTGGTGGGGCATTCTGTGTTGAGACATAATCAGGTTAGCTTATGTTAACCGTATATTGTGAGCCTGGTGTGGTAGCGACCCATTTGTCATCTCAGTATGACTTGAGAGGCTGAGACAGGAGGATTACAACTTGAGGCCAGCCTCAGCAAATTAGCAAGATTCTGTCTCAAAATAAAAAATAAACCGGGTTAGGTATATACCTCAGTGTTAGCACCCCTGGGTTCAGTCACTAGTGCCAAAAAGAAAAAAAAACAAACAACAACAACAAAAAAAATGGGCTGGCATTACAGCTTAGTAGTAGAGTGCTTGCCTAGCTCGTGTGAGGCACTGGGTTCTAGCCTCAGCACCACATAAAAATGAATAAAATAAAGGTATTATATCCACCTACGGCTTAAAAAATATTTTGAGGGCTGGAATTGTGGCTCATTGGTAGAGTGCTTGCCTGGCACATGGGAGGTACTGGGTTTGAGCCTCAGCATCACATTAAAAAAGTACATAAATAAAATAAAGTTATTTTAAAAAATTTTGGGGGAAAAGGCATATATTACAGTGAACACACTTGAGCCTTATGATATGCTATTGTAAAAGAAAAGATTTAATTGAGAAACCAGACTGTATATTGCTTTATCTAGTGTAAAGCCAGTGGCAGGAGGCCACACTACTTCATTGGCAGTATTATCCTTTTTTTTTTAATTGATGGGCCTTTATTTTATTTATTTGTATGTGGCTCTGAGAATCAAACCCAGTGCCTCACTCATGCTAGGCAAGCACTCTACCACTGAGCTACAATCCCAGCCCTAGTATTATCCATTTTGATCTTAATGTTATCTATTTGGAGACAAGTGTTTACAGAAAAACAAGCACCTCTGTCCAAGAATTCCAGGTATTAATTTATTTGATATATATCTCATGGAACCATGGTACTTTATAAGAACTAGTTTGCTTATTGCAATGTAATCTAGACTTTGCTAACTTGAGACCTTTGGCAAGTTATTCAAACTTGCTGGGCCTGATTTTCCTTGTATGTAAATAAGGAAGCAGATCTGTTGTCCATTCTGGCACTAAGACTCTGTGATCTCAATTATCCATAGTCTATTTTTCTTATACTCTGTGTGTGTGTGTGTGTGTGTGTGTGTCTGTGCGCGCGCACACACACAATCCCAGACATACACACATACTTTACTTACAGCCTGTATATGTTCATAAAAAATTCAGAAACTTTTAAGGCTATTCAGTGTCAATAGACATGTACAAAAAAAAATACTAAGAATGATTCCTTCACCTAAAATTATCATGACAAATTCTGCAGTCATTACAAATGAACATTGTGGAAGGTATTGTTTTATTTTAGGTTTTTTTTTTCTTTTTTACTGAATTTGTACCCCTTAAGTTCATTTAATCACAAAGGGTTTTTTTGTTTGTTTTATTTTGATTGTTGTTTCTTTTTCTTTTCTATCTCAATTTAATCACTTACTGTTAAAATGTTACAGGAGTGCTGGGCACAGTGTCTCACACCTATAATCCCAGCAGCTTGGGAGGCTGAGGCAGGAAGATCGAAAGTTCAAAGCCAACTTTAGCAACTTAGTGAGGCCCTAAGGACTTAACGAGACCCAGTCTCAAAATTAAAATATAAAATAAAAAAGGGCTGGAGATGTGTGTCAGTGGTTAAGTGCCTCTGAGTTTGATCCCTTGGTACCCAGAAAGAAAAAATAAGTTACAGGAGTCATTAACTTCTTAATTCAGTTTCCTCACTTCTAAAATAGATATAATAGCATCTTCTTTACTTTTTTGTAGATACTAATTTAATTATTCAGTAAGTGTTACAGTTAGATTAATATTTGTCTTTTGGAGCATTCCATATTTGCATATTGAAAAGATGGCAGTATGTAATAGGTAGTGTATCAGGGATGAGGTTAATTGGATGGATTGCTGAAAATTGTAATTTTCTCCAACTACACATTAGTGGTTGAACAGTAGGTGATGTATAATCTTCTTAGTATGATTATGGCTTATAGGAATATTAAAGTTGGAGTGGTGAGGATAACTGATTTCAGTGTTTTTATTAGTAATGAATAATGCTATCAGATTCATCTTCTTGTCATTACATTTCAGGTTATTTTTCTCATATAGATATTTTATTCACATACCCACACATATATTCAATGTAGAGGATTGTTCTCTCCTCCCAGACCTCAAGCGAAACATTTGTGAAGCTTTCCTGCTATAAACAAAGCCCTTATTGAAGAATTTCACATGAAAACCATTTGTTTTGATGCATTATGTATTAGGCATAATCAGCTTTACATAGCTTAACATTTTTAAGTGTGTGTTGCAGTGTAGTACAGTTGGGGCTACGTATAAATACTGTTATAAAAGAAAATATTTACTTGGTAAGTCAGACTGTATATTATTGCCTTATCTGGAGGAAAGGCAGTCCCAGGAACTTTACTCTCTCATTGGCAGATAACACTCAGGGTGGAGAAAGTAGTGCCACAATTTAGTACTTGTTGGCACTATTAGAAAGCCTTTTTACTGGGGCTGAGGTTATGGCTCAGTGGTAGAGCACTCGCCTAGCATGTGTGAGGCACTGGGTTTGATCCTCAGCACCACATTAAAAAAATAAATAAATAAAACAAAGGTATTATGTCCATCTACAACTAAAAAATTTTTTTAAAAAAAGAAAGCCTTTTTACTTACTTGTGTATTTTCTAAAAACTAATTATTTTGGCTTTGGGGACAATATAATTCTACCCTTGCCATACAGTTTCACGTACCTGTAAACCCCAGCAAGGCTGAGGGAGGAGGATTGTGAGGACAGCCTCAGCCACTTAGACCCTGTCTCAAAATAAAATAATAAAAAGGTCTGACTTTAGATAGGAAAAAGGAGAGGGAGGGAGCATGGGAGTAGGAAAGACAGTGGAATGAGATGGACATCATTACCCTAAGTACATATATGAAGACACGAATGGTGTGACTCTACTTTGTGTACAACCAG